TCGAGTAGCCTCGGTGATGTTTGGAAGAGACCGTAAAAGTTTACTAAATTTCTCCTTATTTTCTTTGCGAACAGCCCGTTGAATTTCCTGCATATAAGTAACAATGTTGTAGAGTATATAATTTTCACCAACAGTATTGTCAATTGGACCAATAATCGGACCAACTGTACATATTCTAATTGAAATTAGACTTATATCCAATTGGTCCATTTGCTGGGTCCAGTTTACAAATAGAAATATCGTTCACCTTTTCATGTTTCCTTAAGTCATATACATATTCACCGAAAATTTCCTCACGTGTTCTATCATCATCTATCGCTAAGAACGCTGGCTCTTCGCCAAGAAGATCACATACTTTTCTAAAGTTGCAATTAAAATCGATGTCAATATATCAGAAAATTTATCATAGATTTATATGTTAAAGAAAATACCTATAACGTGTCGATGAATTGATATCGGGATGAGAGTTTAGTAATGAGATAAAATCTTGTCGAATTTTAATAATTTTTGCTTTCTTTTCCTCCTGTTATTGAATGAAAAATAATTAAGAAAATGAGGAGTATAAATATTTTTTAATGTACAATTTTTACCTCTTCTTTCTTGATAAGGTCATCTACATATCTTTCAAACGCCTGTTTACGTTCGTTTAAGGTCTTGAGTGCACGGTACATTGGATTTGAAATGGTCGCTCTCATAGTTTGTTCCCAAGACCAGTCGGACTTGACTCCCTGTGTAGAAAAAGTCAAAACGCAATCCTATAATATAAAATTAATCTATACATGTGATTTATGACTTACAGATTTTTTAAGCATTTCGCGGAATGCAGCTTCGGCTTCTTCTTTAGTATCGAATTCGATCTTTACTGGCTCGGATTGCTGAATAGGAACAATTGGTATATGGGATCCAGCTAATCCTAGCGGTCTAGCGGAAACATTTATCGGAGTTGTATTAACTGGGCTGACTGCCGGTGTGCTCAATTGACGAGCCCGCTCAAAATCTTGTTGATTAGGTGAAACTATATTTCCGTTAGCTTGAGGCGATGATTCACTGTTCCTAAAATTCGAATTAAAATGTCACTATTAAATAATATGCATCACTAGTAATTAATAGATCCTTACTGTGATAGTTTCTTTTCCATTTCCAATTTATCAAGAAATTCTACATAATACAAATTAAAATATTAAAATTTTATCAAACGGATTAATTATTTCATTAATATACGACTTACCTTTGTATTCAGCAGGCATTTCCCACTTAGATTCTTTAGTAATAGAGTTATAAAAATATTTGCGGCCACCGTCTGCGGTAAACTCCTTCCAAGGACAAGAGCCTAAAGCTCGCTACAAAAACAAATTTAAAACGACGCTACTCGATCCCTTTGACATATGAGGACATGAAAACTTCAAGCTAAAATACCTCTTCAGGAGTTTTCAGTTCATCAGGTTTGTCCCAGCTACTTTGTTTGGTAACGGTGTTATAATAATAGGTGCGGCCATCTGGGGCAGCATGCTCCGTCCAAACTCGTGCCTAGTTATACACAATACATTAAAAAAAGCGTATAACAGGGAGCCATAGAGCAAAGATTGAAAAATAACATACAGTTGTAGCTGCATAAGGAGGCGCTTGACCTGGCGCAAAAGGTTGACTCGCAACTGGTCTAGTTGCGTAAGTTGTGGCAGCTTGAAAACCAGGTCTAGTTTGCGAAGGCTATTGGATCATATTCAATATTTGTAAATTTCGTCGTTCAGAACATTCTTATTAGTAATGATTAACGTATTTGGAAGAAATTTGTAGCTTACTTGAAAGGAAGGTCTTGGTTGACCATATGGGAGAGCACCCTGAGGTGTATTCCATGACATGGTATTCAATGATAAAACGTATAATAAAACTATACTTTACAACTTTCCTAAACCTATTTATATAGTACAGTAGTATTATATAGTATATACACAGCATAATGCAAACTTTCATTGGCTTTTGTAATACAGTCTGCCGATTCACCAAATTAGGGGGACGTCTAAAGCGGAGGCAACTTATATTTAATAATTTTTTCGATTAATTTAGGGTTAGGGTCTT